CTTATAAGTTTTGGTTTGTGGAAACAACATGTCTATTTATAATTGGAAAGCTTTCGATCCGTAAGCGCGGATCTTCATCAGTGTTAATAACGTGTGATTTGTTTAATAGTTCACACTGTCTATAAATTTATTGTAAGTATTTAAGCGAAAGCGAAAGTTTTTAAAACGTAGGCCTACAATTCGGTAGGCCCATATTTTGGATCGGCCCACATTACGTAGGCCCACATTTTGGATCAAACAACTTGGCTCAGATCTTTCCAATCAACGTTGACAGAGACGGAATTTCCGGTCAGACCTGTCAGATTGCGTAAATATAAAGCACCTTAAAGGCTCTTTTCCACTCATCTCAAAAACAGTTCGCAGCGAGCTGCGAGTCCTCGCAAGCTCGCAGGTCAATTTCCACATTCCATCATCTCCCGTGACTAATTTACGTGTTTGCAAAATGGCGGCCGCTTAGTTAAATCGGCGCCTTTTGCCCAGGCTTACTTTATTTATTAAGACGACGTAGGAGAAGACGTCTCAAGTATGTAAAACGTTTTTGGATTCGCCCGATGATATTCTCAACGAATATTTTCAACGATGTGATATTTTCAACGAATTCCATTGGTACTGGTCTTTTTTGTTCACGCGATCAGAAAATATTGTTCAAATGATTTAACTTTGCTGCACCGGAGTGTTCGCAAGCTCGCTGTGAGTTACTCGCTAGTACTCGCAAGCTCGCTGCGAGCTGTTTTTGCGATGAGTAGAAAAGAGCCTTAATTAAAGGCGGTTTTCCACTAGGCGAAATTTTTCGACCGAATCGAAATTTCTCTTTGTTTCATGAGCTCTCGAGCAGAACTAATTGTAAAAAGACAAAGAAAAATTTCGTTTCGGTCGAAAAATTCCGCCTCGTGGAATCAGGCCTTAAGGGACTGTTTGAAGCTGAAATTGGAAATTGAAGAACCTGCATACACCGAAATCAGTGTTTCCACTTCCACAACACACAATTTCCTGTTTTGCCCATTTTTTTGTTCAAAAGTTCATTCATTGGACATGGGACCTTTTACTATCGAAAAACAGAGAGCTCGCCAAATTAAAGATAACTTTACCGGCAAAAATAAACAACGGTTTTCTGTATTGATTATCTTCATCGCTACCTTGATCGACTCCCACCCCCACCCACTGGCACTGCCGTAATTTATACCAATATTTAAACACATTACAGGCTGCTGTTCCTGAAAAAGAATTAAATGCAATCACGTCATGTTTCTGGATTAAAACGCAGAAACGTTCTGAGGAGCCCACTGTGTTGTCATATGCAGTTCCCCGTACAGATAATGAATTCACTATATATTTAACACCAACTATTAGAGTGTTAGTCAAAGACGAACTTGGACCCCCAATGTTATTATTCGAGTAAGTAAAAGACCTGTTGCTTTTTATTGAAAGGTGTGTTTTAACCTCGGTTTGTTTGTCTGTTTGTATTTGTGTTTGTTTAATTGTTTGTTCGTTCTTTGTCTGTTTATTTGGTTGTTCTGTTATTTATTTGTTTGGTATTGTGTTAATTTGTTTTGTTTATCTGTTTTGTTTGTCTGTGTCTCGTCTCCGTCTCATGTGCCTTCAATATCCGGCGCTTTCTACGCCACTCTGAATGTATGGCTACTACTAAAAAGCGATACAGCGATACAACGATACAGCGATACAGGAACCGGAACCTGGAACCGGAACCTGGAACCGTGCATAATTTATGCAAATTAGAGCATTTTGCACCACAGGAGATATACATAATAATAATTTACAGGGGGGGGGGGGAGGGCGCAATTCAATGATAATATACAATATTATATGCAAGGCATTTTGATTTTTAAACAAAACAAAGAATGAACATCGTTGTAGCACTACATGTTTCGTAATTGCGCGGCCATTCTTCTTGTCTGTTTTGATATGACTGCATGTGATGCACTTAGTTTATTTACTGGCCGCCGCACTTGATTATGAAATCCCAGCAGACAGAGAAGGGAAACCACGGCAAGCAAAGCAGATTGCGCTGGATTCAGCAGCAATTGTGCGCTAAATTAAGTAATTAGAGTGTAGTGTAGTGTATGATGCAACCCAGCATTGAATATGCTATATACACTGCGAATATTGCGAATATAAATAAATAAAATAAATATGCTGCATGCCGAAATATATCCGCTTGAACATCAATCACAAACATAAATGAAGTTTATATGAAGGTATAGTAACTCCAATGTAAAAAATACATTTAAAATGAAAAATTGATTTGTCTGATTGAAATTCAGCGTCGAAAACATATAGACGTACTCCGGTACTTGATAGTACTATATTATATAGGGTAAGAGACACGACTAAGTGAATTTCGACGCTGAATTTCAATCAGACATTTCAATTTTTCATTATTAAATGCATTATTGACATTGAAGTTACCTTCATAACTTCATTCATGTTTGTATCGTTGCCAGTCAAGCGGATATTTTTAGTACTGATGCAGCATATTCGCAATATTTGCGTATTCCGGCGGCAGCGTATATAGCACATTCAATCGGTTGGATTGCATCATACACTACACTCTAATTGCTAGTGAATTCAGCGCAATCTGCTATGCGTGCCATCGTTTCATTCTCTGTCTGCTGGCATTTCATAATCAAGTGCGGGGGCTAAATAAAATGTGTCATGCAGTCATATCAAAACAGGCAAAAGTGCTACAACGATGTTCATTCTTTGTTTTGCTTAAAAATCAAAATGCCTTGTTAGTTGTATATAATATTTTATACTATCATTGAATCTCCCCCCCCCCCTGTAGATTATTATTATGTATATCCCCTGCGGTGCAAAATGCTCTAATTTGCATAAATTATGCACGGTTCCTGGTTCCGGTTCCAGGTTCCGGTTCCTGTATCGCTGTATCGTTGTATCGCTGTATCGCTTTTTAGTAGTAGCCCTGAATGGCTACGTCATTTTATTAATCTATTTTATAGAACGGAAATATTTTATTATAAATCTATTTTATAGAACGGGAATTTGGGTAAGCGATGGTAAATGGCATCACGTCTGCATCACATGGGAAAGTGGTCGTGGTTGTGTGCAAGCTTACAAGGACGGCGTGCTTATAAACAGCAAGACTGCGTATATGCGAGGAAGGCCGATTTTGCCATTTGGTATATGGATTATTGGGCAAGACCAAGACACGCTTGGTGGAGGTTTTACTTCACACGACGCATTTCATGGTTCCCTTACTGAAGTCAACGTATGGGACAGAGTCCTGGATGCGAGTGAGATTTCCACCCTTGCAAACAGTAAATGTGGATCGGGGATGAAGGGAAATTATAGAGCGTACAATGATTTCGTTCCCTACGGAGGTGTTCGAAAGTACAAACCTTCTTGTTGTGAGCAGTAGGATTGTATTTCTCAAGGTTTTTGTCATTATACTTTATACAAATTATTAATGTTGTCCGAAGCAACTTTTAAATTAGACTTCTTAGTTTGACAACCAAAGTTGAAACATTTTTATATGAATAAAATGATATAAAATGTTGCCGAAGGCGAGGTGATTATCGGCGAATAAAAACCGACACGAAGTCGAGGTTTTTATTCACGATAATCACCCAGCCTGAGGTGAATAATTGTTTTTAATAGTATAATTTAATAGGTGATTATTTGGAAACAAATTTTAAAATGCACATTTCTTCGTCATTTAATTGACAAAACGGCTTCGACCGCCATTTTGAAAATCGCTTTGGTGATTATCGCGTAATCATCTCAACGGCAACCAATCAGCGTAGAGAATTTTAAATAATCACCTATGTAATTATACTAAAGTTGGTTAATCCAAATTAAATTGAATAAATAAATTCCTGATTAAAATTTCAATCCAGCTGTATTCGACTTGATTTTCAATTTTGTCCGACTGTTTCTAGGAGAAAATTTTTATCCTTAATAAAGGATCAAAAGTGAAATCAATTAGCCTTTCTCACGATGGGTGGCATCTAATTCTTGTTAACCAATGCAGACAATTAAAACAATGTGAAAAGCAATTTTTCAAAATAAACTAACCATTTACAAAGCAAATTTACCATCATTCATGCAAAAAATTATAAAAAGTCGCTGTTATGTGGACTTGTCTCGCAGACTTCGGCTGAAATGTCTCTTATCTCGCAGACTTCGGCTGAAATGCCACCCAAAAATGGCGGCGTGAGAAAGGCTAATTCAGTTCGCCCATGCATGTTGAGCGAAATTTGAAATCGCTTGAAACTTCTAATCGAAAAATGCTGCACGTTCGACAGATAGTTACTATAAAATAATTAAGTAGCCAATATGCTGTTGTAGATTGTATTCTAATCATTATACCAATGTTAGCACTGATAATTTTTATTTTAAAACTTTACAATTAAACTTCTTATATAGTTTAGTTGTAGTCAAAACAAAACGATATCGTCTTGGTTTAAGCTGACGAATTTGGGGGACTGACATCTAGTTTCCAATTCAGTGCATCAAACAAGGACAAAAATACCACCATTCGATTCAGTAAGGCAATATCTCCCACCATAGTTTTAGACTTTAGTCAATATCAACATTATAGCGATTTATAGCCTCTGAAAGTTAAATTATCAAATTGCTTATGATTTTCTGAATAAATTATAAACTATCCGTAACTTTCGCCGAACATACTGTAACTTCGGTCCCTTGGGACGTACGTACTGTATCGTCTTCGTAATAGTTTTGTTCGAATCCCTATCCAATACACTATTTAGAGTGTTATTTTCAGCTTGTACCTTCAGATTTTCGTACTTTATTTCGGCATTTCCATTTCTGCGCATAAACTGTTCCGGAAATACAACTTTAATCCATAAATAAGTGCGATGTTTGCATCCTATATCGGAGTTACCCTGGATGCCAGAGGTTTTCCACGCTCGCCAAAAAAAGTACGATAAAAGGAGCGACGGAACGTGCTATATTTCTGCGAGTTCTATTTTTTGCGAGAATGGAAAAACCTCTGGCACCCAGGATACCTAGCAATCTGGAAACATCGGAAATCGATTCTAAAGGTCAAAGTACTACTGTAGCGTGATTTGCACCATACACGTGTATCTGGATATATGGGTGCTCCTTATATGGCCAAGTATGCGTGTGTGAGATTGAAATTAGCCTCTGTGTGAAAATAGAGCTCCAGAGATTCGAAGGTTTTCCAAGCATTTTACGATACCAATTGAAATCACAGGACACAGCTAGCCAAAGTCATAGCTCTGACTCGAAAAATGTAATTTCCCTATAATATATGTGTCATTTTATGTGTCTTCTCGAGTGTCTTCTTAGTAAACACAAATAAGTAAAACGTTGTACGGTTTAAAAAGTTTCGCTTTGCTATTTGTAACAATACCAACTGAAAAATAATATTCTGCAACTTTATTTAAATCATACAATGCATGTTTGACACTGAAATTGAAGAACCATACACCAGTTTTTTACACCAAAATACTATCCGCCATCTTGAATATTCATAACGGACGGAAATCTGGCGAAATGCATGGCATGCTCTAAACATTCCTGTCAGAGCGGTCCAACATCGAGAAGTTTTGTATTCCATATTTAACAACCTGGCCAACCTGGTCGGTCTGGTTTTGGCCATGGCCATGGGACCCTTTACTATCGAAAAACAGAGAGCTCGCCAAATTAAAGATAACTTTACCAAAAATAAACAACGGTTGTCTGTATATTGACTATTTTTTTTCAGTTATTTATACCAATATTTATACACTTTACAGGCTGCTGTTCCTGATAAAGAATTAAATGTAATCACGTCATGTCTCTGGATTAAAACGCAGAAATGTGCTGAGGAGACCACTGACACTGTGTTGTCATAAGCAGTTCCCCGTACAGATAGTGAATTCACTATATATTTAACACCACCTATTATCAAGTCCAAGTGCAGATATATGTCGAAATACAATAGGTGAATTTAAAATATTTAATGCAGCGTACAAAGCCTGTCACTGCCTGTGTGTGAAAATAAAAGCGTTTATGTGGGGTCTCTGTAAAGAACGGAAACCGAAACGACCGAAACCGGAAATTCTCGCCTAATTTCCCGCATAAAATTACCTAAAATTTAGCCTACAAGCAGGCTAACTGGGAGAAAGGTGAGCCTGCATGGAACCATGTGTTTTATTTATTCATCCTCTTTTCGCATCTGAAACGTGAACCAATCCGCGTCGACTGGGATAATAAACAAAGACTGTCAACTGTCAAATTGACGCAGGGCGTAAAATGTACAACGAAGACTCTCTCCTCCGCAGAGGTAGCCTGCATGGCAGCGGGCAGGATTTTGCAAATCAGGCCCCCATAAAATTGAGGGCCTGCCACGCAGGCTACCGCAGAGGCTTCTGTTGACTTTGCATGATTACGATTAGTATTGAGATACATTTCACTACACTTTACATGGCAGATCTTGGAACACGAGCGGAGCCGCAGGCCCGCAGAACACCTCTGCGGAGGAGAGAGCAACGAAGAAATGTATAAAACAAGTGTAAATCCTTATTTATCAATTAACGTTTCGACTATATTTCAGTCATCATCAGGATAAAGAAATGTTGTGGATTGTTTATATGAATATATTTGACATCTCAATACATGACATGACTAACATAAAGTCCAAAACTATGGTCCAAAACGGTCGTTTTATATGAATGTTACGAATCCAAAAACGTGTTCGTAGGCGAGCACTAACACGCATGCGCGAGGAAATACTACGCTTAAAAGTCAATAAGATTAACTATAGTGTCCTTTAACAAACTATGCATAATTCTCGACATCCTCTGGGGGGAGGGAAAGTTTCTGTGTCCAACGTGCAATTCGTTCGCGTCCTCTTACAGCAGCCTCTCTCCTCGGGCGATGTGGGGGTTCCGAGGCTGGTGGTGGTTTCTCTGATGATAGGATGGGTTTTGCTTCCTGTTTGGTCGAAACTTCGAGAGGGTAGAGACGAGCAATAGGTCGGTTGGTCCTACCAGTGCTAGTACGAATATCGGCAGATCGAATCAGTCCATCGTTTCCACTAACGAGGTTCTGAATTACGGCAAGTCTCCAGTTGGCTCTGGGACCGTCATCGTGAACTAACACAACGTCAATTTGCTTGACTTTCTGTTCGTTTGTCCCTGTTGTTTTGTGGAATTCACGAAGTGAGGTGAGATACTCGTGCCTCCACCGCATCCAAAAGATTGTATTATTATCGATTGTTTCCTGGCTCTTTCTCGAACTTCGGAATCGTCGTCGAAGTTGGGATTGTGTAGTTCCTCTACTTCAACCATTAGGCGAGGTAATCTTCTGACGCGTCGTCCGTAGAGAAGGTGGGAAGGTGTCAAGGGTTCCGGATCGTCGGCTTCGGATGTGACATATGTTATAGGGCGGTCATTGAGGACAGCTTCGATCTCGACTATGATCGTTTGTAGGCCCTCTAGGTTTATATATGCGCGTCCAAGGATCTTCTTCAAGGTGGTTTTGGTTAGACCAATCAAGCTCTCCCAGAATTCTCCAAACCAAGGCGCCCTTTTCGGAATGAATTGCCATTCTACTCCTCGTTTGCTGAGAGAGTCGTGCAGTGCTTGTGAATTGAAGAGAGCTCTGAGTTCGTCTGCAGCCGATAAGTAAGTTGACGCGTTATCCGAGATCATCCTTTATGACAACGATTTGCGACTTGCAAATCTCCTGAATGCGTTCAGAAAACACTCTTGTTATCACGTACGTAAAGGGCTCCGGTGAAGTCAACACCTGTTGTCGTAAAGGGTTCCGGTTGTTCTCGACTTGGGAAGTGGAGGTGGATCGGGGCGTGTATAGGCAGTACCAGTGACCTTACGACAATTTACGCACCGTCTCAACAATTTTCTCACGTACTGGCGGACGGATGAGATCCAATAGGTCTGACGTAATGTGGTCATTGTGGAGTTCACACCACTGTGGAGTATGTTTTCATGGGCGCTGTATACGACAAGATCTGTGAAAGGATGGTTCTTAGGTAGGAGGTATGGAAACTTCGCTGACGTGCTTAATGTCGCATTGTGAATACTCCCGCCACAACGAAGCAAATTGTCGGTGTCGAGGAAAAGACGCAGTTGTCGTATGAGTAGTAATCTTCGGGATATTTTGGAAGACAGGTTCTCGATTTCCTCGGGGAAGGTAGTACTTTGACAGGAATGTGTCCATATCTGCTCGGCGAAGTTCAATTCTTTCGCGGTGTGGGGTCCAGAAGTGTCACTTTTGTCTTTTCTTAGGAGAGCAATGAATCGCAGGACGTAGGCTGTAACTCGTAGTAGGTGATTTAGTTTGCTGTACTTCTCGATGTCAATGATGCGGTGTATTCCGGGTTTGTGATGTTCCGTGGGAATGCTGTCTCTTTCGGGTGCGTTGTGGTTGATTTCTTCTGATGAAATTGCTAGTGTCAGAGTAGGGGATAAGTCGGTTGAGGACCACGTCGGCCACTTGGACTCGCACGTTAACCAAGGTGGACCCAGTTTCCAAAGGACTGAAGAACAAAGTTGGGTTGCACTTAAGCCTCTCGTAAGTAGGTCCGCCGGATTATCGTTGGTTGGACAATATCCCCATGTTGCCTTGGGAAGTAGATCTTTGATTGTTTGAACACGGTTCGTGATGAAATGGCTTAGACGTTTGTTGCTGGACAACCAATGTAAGACTATTTGACTGTCCGTCCAAAGCCTCACAGTGAGGTCACAGTACATGGTAGTTGTAGCAAGTGCATTCTTGACATAGCTGGCCAACTGTGCGGCGGTGACAGCACCCATAAGCTCGAGTCTAGGTAAAGTTAGTTTCTTCAGGGGTGCAACACGCGTTCTAGCCACAAGAATTGCGATTTGCGGACCGTGACGGAGATAAGCAACGGCGCCATAGGCCTTTACACTTGCATCCGAGAAGACATGGAGCTCAGGCTTGGTATTGTTAGGATTGATTGTGATGGGACATCTCGGAAAGTTCATGGTCCCTGAAACAGTGTCGATATCTTCGGCTATGCTTAACCACTTCTCGCTCAGTTTTTGTGAAAGTGGTTCGTCCCATTCGATGTTTTGTAGCCACAATTCTTGCATGAGTAACTTAGCTCTAATAGTAACCGGGGATAACAGGCCCTGTGGGTCATAGATCTTCGAGGAATTGCTGAGGACTTCTCTTTTGGTCGGTAAGTTGAGGGATGAGGAGATGTGTTTAGGGGTGAGGGACAAGGTGTCTGTCAACGTATTCCATTGGAGGCCGAGAACATTAACAGTAGTTTCAGTATCAGCAGTTCCTTCTTGTAGACAGAGGCTCTGAAGTTGTGGACTGTTGGATGCCCAAGCTCGAAGTTACCAGAGGACGTAATGGATCGCGCCGACTTGTAATAGTGGTGACATCATTTTCTGTTGGCTGTCTGGAAATGAGATTATCAACATATAGGTTTTCTTTCATGTCGGTAGCAATCTTTGAACTGTCTTGGTCGAGGTGGGATTCGAGTGCTGAGCTGAGCATTAATGGTGAGCATGTAGCACCAAACAACACAACTTTGAATCGGTAGGCTTGAAACGCGCTTTCGGGATCATCAGGTTGGGAAAGCCACAGGAATCGGGTACACAGGAATCGGGTACAGTCTTTGTCATCTTCGTGGAGTTGAACATGTAGAAATGCCTTCTCTATATCGGTTGAAAATGCAAATGGGTGGGTTTGAAAGCGCAGAAGAATTGAGCACATATCATTTAGCGATGGTGGACCTGACAGAAGACAATCATTCAAACTTGGGTGGTCTGTTGACTGGCGGCAGCTACAGTCATATACAATTCGAATAGGTGTGGTGGTAGAGTCCTTTTTTACAGGGTGGTGGGGAATGTAGTGGATCTTATCTGACATGTTGGTCGCAGACATCTTTTCAATGAATGCTTTCTCTTCTTGTTCTGCAATGATGTCGCTATAGGTCTTCAAGAGTTTGGGGTCCTGTCCGAGGAGACGAGCTAGAAGTCGTGTTCTCTTCGCACATACAGCGTAGTTGGATGGTAGTGGGCGATGCTCAGTCCTCCATGGAAATCTTGCACAATAAGTGCCATCAGGAAAGCGAGTGATGTTAGTTTCCTTGAAGTTCCCAATCGTTGGTTTCTGTGGGGATCATGGGGTCGTTGGTTTCTGTGGGGATCATTAACAAATCTAAGGGTGGTGGATCCCAAAACCGATTGGGGTCCATGCTCTCTACTTGATGATGAGGCATGGTAATGACATTTAACATGGTGGTGTTTGATGGGGCTTCTCCCAGGGGTAAGGGTCCCGATAGCAGATATCCAAGTTTAGACTCCATAGCTGTTGGACCAGCTCCTCTGATAATATGGTCTTGGACTATTTCCCAGTAGTGATCTGCTCCAATAAAGAGCGAGACTTCAAATTTCTCGTCTGAGGTGATTGGGTGGGCGAGTGGGGTTCCCTTTATGTATGGGAGAGTCCGGACATTGGCTAGCGAAATTCGATAGGTCCTGCTCTAAAACTCACACATTCTAGGGGGTCCGGGGGCATGCTCCCCCGCAAAATTTTTAATTTTAGAAGTCTGGAATGGCCATTTCCTGCGATTTCACGGCGAAATACTCCAAAGAGAACATCAAAAAATTGTGTGATTTAGTGGAAAATATTTGATAATTTTTGAAACCGTATATCCATATTTGTCATATTTCACTATATATTTTTCAACTTAAAAATTTAGCTAAATATAGTCAAGTCATGTAAGGGACGGACCATTTGATTTTTGATGGGGTGTTGGTAGAATCCCCAAAAAAATATCGAGCAAGCAATTCGAACTTTAAAAAATTATCGTGCAAGAATAAACGGACGAAAAAAATATCGAGCAAGATTTTCGAGTGGTAATCCTTATTTGCCATTCGGTGCATTTCCGCGTGTAGCCCAGGGCCGTATGTAGCAACTGGAGGGGGGGGGGCATGGTGGACTGCAGGGTCCAGGAAATGGCATTTCAGAGACTCTAAATTTAAAAATTTCCTCGGGCCTTCGGCCCTCGCTTTCAGCCCCCCCCCAATAAAAAAGAGCTTCCTACGGCCTTGTAGCCTAAATAATGGGAGGACCAGTATAATTCCAAAAATGGTTGTTCTTTATTTCTTTACTCCGACTCCTATGATGAATATGTACATAAAAAACTAGGTTAAACTAGGTTACTACGATTAAATCACGGCCGTAGAAAGTAAAATAGGTGAAATTTTTATGGGACACAATCAAAGGCGAGGATATAAGAGCGAGAGATTGAAATTGAGTAGGAATAGCGTACAGGGGTATGCGTTTTGACCTAACAGTTCTCTTCAGCAGGGTTTTTTAAGAGGGGGGGGGGTAGATATAATTTGAAGAGGAGAAGGAAGGAGAGTTTATAGGAGTTCGGAAAACTTGTGACTGTAGGTGATTGCATCCAAATATGGTGTTGTGGTGTAGGAGCTTATAAGACAGGGATAGGGGCGTTTGGCAATTAGTGATACATAAGGGATAAAAATAATGATAATAACACCGTGCACGGTTTGTTTGAAATATATGAATATACAATAATAACAGAGATTAGTAAATGAATGATACGATATGACCAATAGATAGCTATAGCTAGTTCTGGTGTGGATTTTGCTACGTAGAGGATCCAACTGAGTTCACATTATTTTCCGAACTCCTAAACTCTCCTTTCTTCTCCTCTGCAAATTCTATATACACCGCCCCCCCTTTAAAAAACCCTGCTGAAGAAGACTGTTAGGTCGAAACGCGTGTAGGGTTGCCTTTCCTATACTCAATTTCGATCTCTCACTCTTATATCCTCACCTTTTATGGAGTCCCATAAAAAATTTACCTACTTTAGTTTCTATATATAATCGTAGTTTCCCTAGTTTTTTTACGTACATGTTCATCATAGGAGTCGGAGTAAAGAAATGAAAAACAACCATTTTTTGAATACTGGTCCTCTCATTATTTAGGCTACGATGTCTTACACCAGTACTTGTCCAATTACCTATTATATACCAAAAAATGTAAAAACAAGAAACTAAAAAATGTATATACATGCATAAAAAAAATATCGTGCAAGTCCTCTGACTGACAAAAAAAAATCGAACAG